CCCAGGCAGTGTCAAGTTCCTGTTTTAACAATTCAGCTCAGTTTTTTTGTTGGAGGGAACCCACCAGCACTAGAGCAAGGATGCAGAAAGAGAAACACAACCGTTTAGTACAGCCGCGTCTGTACCAGCGTCTGTCTGGCTGGCTGTCCCTGCGCCGCACAGCCGTGCCATTTCCTGGGCAGAGGAATAGCAAATTCCCGTCCCTTCGTTTTACACACGTAACACAGGCATCGGAGCTCGGATCGTTGCATTTCGGGATTTAAGATTACCATATTCTTCGGACTTTCAGATTTTTTAAATGCTGCTAAAGTTTTATCTTACTATTTAACAAATATGTTTTTTAAACCGATTTCCCATAGTTATGTTATTAAATGATTTTTACCTTGCAGTGGCAACAGGTGATGCATTTGATTGTACATTTTTTTTTGGTGGAATTTGTATTAAAATGACATCTGAAGTCTTGATTAATTACTTCAAGAACATTAAATGTTTTAAAACATGCAAACGTATGACAGCAGAGAGCTGTTTAGCAGCAGTATAAAGTGTTAGACCCTAGTGCTTATTTGTTTGTAACAGCATTTATTCTGCTGTAGCCTCAGAGTGAATAATTAGATCTTAATAAATTTGTCATTTTCCTACACAGTGACAACTTTACAGTCCTTTGTGTTTTCTGTATCGGTGCATCTGCAGGGCTCCCAGTTTGTGGGGCTTATTTTTAGGCAAATTATAGCTCATATATTAGGAAAAAGTAATCCTGGTGTTCGAAAACACATGTAAAATACGTAAGAAAGAGGTGATGTGAAATCCCAGGCAGGCCGTGAGCAGGGGGGGCACCGCTGCCTGCCAAAGCCCCGCGCTTTGGGGACGAGCACGCGGTGGGCAGGGAGGACCCCGCTGGTTCATCAGCGGCTCCGCAGACCCTCGTGCCGCGGCGGCTCTCCCTGCGTCTTGTGTCCATGGTGCGCGGTCAGACCCTCCCGGCGCTCCCACGTGCCGATCTGGTGACGGCCTTCGCTGCCGCCGTTGCTCAGGTTCGAGCCGTGGGCTGTTCTCTCCCTTTCCCGTTCTCACGGCACGACCGGCTTCTGTGCTCTGACACCTGTAGGACC